TCTGCCAGTGGATCCTAACAGCGTGGAGCAGAGTGAATGAGTCCACCATCACCAGTGGGTTCTGAAAGGCTGGACTGCTACGTGAAGAGGGCACCACAGCTTCAGAGCCAGCATTACCCCGGGAGGACAGCGACACAGAAAGTAACAATGAACAGATACCGCTGTGTGACGCAGCTTTTCTCAGCTTGTTTAACTCRGACACTGAAGAGGAGGACTTTGATGGTTTCAGTGCGCCGGAGGACGATGAATGAGACGTTTTGTTGGACCAGAAACTGCTAAAGAAAACTACCAAAATAAGGTCAGTTAAATGAACCGTAGTCCTCCGAACTTTAATTCTTAAAGGTTTGCTTTTAATGTTTTGATGTTGAATTCAGTTTTTTGACGGCAAATTTGGGTGTACTGTTTTTTTTATGTTGGGGGTGTGGCTTATAGTCCGGTGCGGCTTATATGTTAATGTTCGCGGATTTTTAAAAAAAAAATGGCGGGTGCGGCTTATAGTCCGAAAAATACGGTAAACATAGTGGCAATGTACGAGACTAACTGAAAGTAACTGTGTCATAATCAATGTGCAACATATAAAATATAAAAAATAAGGATCCCCCTCGACATCACTACATTAAAAAGATACAGTTTTATTAGTGTTGGCCAGTAAAAAATGTTCATAGATAATTAAATTTTACCGTTATGTGTAATAGAATATTGCACATTCCCATGATACAGAAAAACCCTCTGTATTGGGTTGTAAAGGCACAAAATGGAGAAAAGTTATTCTCTACAGTGTGAACATAGTGTTTTTACATCTACAATCAACACACAATAATGACGACGCTCTTTATAGGCAGTACACAACCAGTCCTGTAATATACACTGCCTGGAAAAAAAGTCACCACCAAAACAAAAAGACCACACTAATATTTCATTGGACCACCTTTAGCTTTGATTACGGCACACATTCGCCGTGGCATTGTTTTGATAAGCATCTCCAGTGTCACAAGACTTTTTTCCATCCAGTGTTGCATTAATTTTTCACCAACACCTTGTATTGATGATGGTAGATTCGCACTGCTGTGCAAAGCCTTCTCCAGCACATCCCAAAGATTCTCAACGGACCACGTGGAGACAGTCCATGAGTGAATATCATGTCTCATGCTTCCTGAACCACTCCATCACAGTTCGAGCCATCAGGAAAGAAAAAAATCCATTGACGGAACCTGATGATTCAGTATATTCAGGTCAGCTGACCTCATTCTTTCAGCACAAACTGTTGCTGAATCTAGATCTGACCAACTGCAGAAACCCCACATCATAGCACCTTTTTTTAGCCAGGCAGTGTATATATCAATGGTATTGACCCTCAATCCCCCTAGTAATCTTCTTTCTTTTGAACATACAAATTGTAAAAATTATGGACATAAATATTATTTTTAATCAAGTAAAAAATCCATTCCAATCCCAGATTGTAAGGCAACAAAATATAAGATTACCAAAGCAAGTAACATTTGTGCATATCATGCTGCAGAGGAAGCGTGATATTAAATCATTAACAGAATCTTACATGTTTAGAGTTCGAGGGGATCTTCAGAGCCAGCTTGGTCCAGTTTGTGGCATCAGAACAGTTTCCCAGCTCCATGTAACACTGAGAGATAAAAAACACTGAGTCACATGTTCTGCAACATAACAAGCTCCCTGCACTGATCTATCAGCACTCTGTAAAAAAAAGACTCTAGAACAGGGATTCCCAACCAGGTGAGGATATTACAGGAGGTACATGGAACAATTTTCCAGGTGTGAAAAAAAATTTAAAATTAGGACTGAGATATGCAGAAATTGCAGACAGAATCACAGAATTAATACAAAATGGAATCCAGTATAAAAAACGTGTAATCTCGCAGAATTTGCTCATTTGGCTGAGCTTCTGACGTATTCCAAATGCTGCTGTTTTCTGCACCTGCCATTACCTGGGTTATTTATTTAATTACTTATTCACTTTCAAGGCAACATTTTTATCTTTAAGTTTAATTTGAGTGGAAAAAAATTAAAACGTCAGAATTAGGGCTGCAACGATTAATCAATTAATCGACGACTAATCGATTATTAAAATAATCGATGACTAATTTAATAATCGATTAATCGTTTTCTTTTTTTTTGTTCTTTACTTTGTTTTTCTCTCCAAACCTTCCAATGCCACATCTGCCTTTCTGTCCTTGACACACATGCACAGTAGTGGTA